CCATACACCCGGGCCTCCACACACCTGGGCCTCCTCACACCCGGGCCTCCTCATACCTGGGCCTCCACACACCCGGGCCTCCCCACACTTGGGTCTCCTCACACCTGGGCCTCCTCATACCTGGGCCTCCCCACACCTGGGCCTCCTCATCCCTGGGCCTCTCCAAACCCGGGCCTCCCCACACCTGGGCTTCATGCAATGGAGTACTCCAACCGCAAGAGTGCACACAGCTTGAACCCCCAGCTAGATCTAGCTCTAACTCTCCTTTTGAACAGGACCATGGAGAGATGGAGAAACAATTTAAACATCACAACTCAGAAGAAATGGTCCAAATGCAGAATACAGGTCACTGGACAGGCTAGGTTTCTTCTCTCCACCCAACAAAAAAATCAAAAGGCATGGGGAAAAGAGCCGGGGCGAGGCATAAATGAGAAGCTAAAGACATACAAACTAAACAAAGTGTGGACCTTGATTTGTCCTTTCTACGGCCCAGCTCTACCAGGACGTCTTTGCTGCAATGAAAATAACTGAAGATGATCGGGAAATCAGATAACATTAAGGGGTTGTTATTAATTTTGATAGGCATAAAATAGCATGGTGGCTAATAAACGAAAACAGTCCTTATCAATTAAGGGAAATGATCTCCTGCAGGAGGAGGGATCCAGCGACGCTGTCAGGCTGCTCTGCTGCCACGGGATTTTCATATCCCTACGTGCATGATCTGTGCCTATGTCTAAACCGGCGGCTGCACGTCACGGAGCACGGGGATGAAGCGTCTGAGGGGCAAGCTGGGTGGATGGCCAGAATTCTCCCAGGCACCACCAGCCTTGGGTCTCGGCAGCGCGAGGCCTGGCGCAGGCCCAAGGGCAGAAGATCGCAGCATGCCTGCAATCCAGAGGGCCACGGACGGCACACCCACGCCCGAGCCACCTTCCTAATGAACAGGCTGCGGGGAGGCTGGGCAGGCTGGAACATGGCTGGGCTGGGAGGACAAGGCCTGCGTCTGCAGCTGTGCTTACAGAACGCCGAGCCCTCCAGCCCGGTGAGTTTTTGCCTTTCACACTTCTGTAACTTGAGTAGAATTAACTACTCGCTGCTAACAAGAAGGTAGAGACTCCGATGTGGCAATGACATGGAGGGAGAGGAAAGAAGCCCTTTAGTATTCTTGGAACATCTCTGCCATTAAAAGAGAGAGAGAGAGAGAGAGAGAGAGAGGAGGAGGAGGAGGAGGAGGGAAGGGGGTAACCTCGGGACCAGCACACAGCAGTTCTCCCGCCATCTTGATGTCCTTGACACGTGCAGACGGTGTGGAAGTGCCTGGCACCAGAACGGCCCGTGAGGAGGAATGAGCGGCCAATGGAGATTTATGTGAACAGAGCGAGATGGACAAGGTAAAATTGTCAGGAGGAGTTGTTGGAAAGTAAAATATATTGTGACAATTCCACTCCTGCCGTTCATCAATAAACTGACAGATCATTTAGTGTCAATTAGGAGTGATAGATGGACAAGTCCCCGTGATCCTGGGCCAAAATTAATGGCTGGGAGGGAGAGGGTGATTGAAAATGACGGCTGACATTGAGAGCAAAGTCCTGAAAGTCCCCAAGGGGCCATTACTTGCCTCATTCCCTTGCAGATGAATGCAGGGACAAACCCAAAAACAGACACTTTGAGACAAAACTTAATCAGAAGGCCTTTCTTCCTCTCCTTCCCAGGTCTGGTTCCCCTGCACTCAGCTCGAGTCACAGAGCCATCCGGGTAACCCATGGACTCTTTAAAGTGTCCCAGTTCAGGCAACTTCAGGCAGCTGATTCCAAGATGGTGGTTTTGGCACAGCTGCTGCTTTCAGGCCAGGAGAAGGGACCGGTAGTAATTTCCCATCCCAAGCCATTCCTCAGGTGAGCCCTGCCCCGTACCTCGGAGTGAGCGTGAGTTCTAGGACGTGGTATCTCCCAGGGCCAAGGCCCACACGTGCCTTGTGGGCCATCTGCTCTCTGTCGTGGGTGTTTCACATACTGAACAAAGGTATCACGGGATCTCACGTGTGTTGGCTGCAAGCTCCTTAGTCAGGGCCATAAACAGCCCTCTTCCACTCACTGAAGACGCGTAGCTGCCCGCAACTGTCGCTTGTCCTACTTCGCTGAAGGCGACCTTCCTGACTGAGTTGGTCAGTCGCGTGTACAAGGCACAGCTGGGCTTGTTTGCTCTCCAGCCCCAAAGCCTTCTGCTGGCACCCCGATCTCCAGGGCGGAGTGTTTACAGGTGGTGAAGGGCGCGGCTGAGGTCAAAAGGATGGCCTCTCAGGATAAGAGAGGGGAAGAGAAACGTGAGGTCTCTCTCCCTGCATGTAGATCCTGAAGGACCTAACCAGAAAAGGCCTCTCACCAAGAGCTTTGTCATGCTGCCATCTGATGTCAGATGTCAGAAAAACGCCCCGGGGAGGCCTGGTCATAAGGTGCGTTGTCTGGACTCCTGGGATTTGGTAATGCCTTATGGCGGCCAGGCTGTGCCAGACACACAGCACCGTGCAGTACTGTTAACCCTAAAGCACTGAAAACCGGTTCTTTTCCACTGTGAATTCTCCGATCTAACAGCCTAGCGGGAAGGCTGCCACCCTCCCGCCACCAAATCTTAAACCAAACCACTCTCAAGAGCCTCTGTCGCTGTCAGAATCCAACCCGCCTGACCTCCATCTACTCTGCAAGGTGGCCCCTGACCTTAGAATCACTTTCTTCTGATGTCTCATGCCAAGGAATACCCGTGCCGCCCACCTTGTGCTTACCATGCACTCTTTGAGCGAGTCCTTACTTTTTCACTAGAGAGGCCTGATGCCCTGGATTACAATCTAGCTCTCCCAGGACAGGAGACTGTGGTACTCACTAGGGTGTCCTGGTTCCTGCCGACACACTAGGAGACACTGCTAGGGAAAAGCTGTGGAGAACAGACTCCGCACAGTGCCCTACAACATCAAATGTGGTCACCACTTACTCTTAGAAACAAAACAACAACAAGAACAAAAAAAACTAAGACTTCCTAAGGAGACGTTCCCTGGGTCCCCACCAAAGCTGAGTGATCACACGACGCCATTAGCACAGAGCTGCGCTCAGTCCTATGTCTTCTCATCATATGTGGAAGCAGGCCCATAGTATCACCTGCTCTTGCCCCAAAGCCTCAACCTGAATCTAATCGGAACAAACTGGAGAAATCTAAAGATACTCTATAAGACAACTGGCTTGGAGTCCTCAGACAGTCCATGTACTCCATGGTAGTGGGAGCTCTTTTAGATCAAGAGAGGAGCTGGGCCTGGCATCATAGACTCCATGAGCAGCCTGTGAGAAGCTGAGACAGGAGGATGGATGTAAATCTGAGGCTAGCCTGGGCTATAATGACCCTGTTTAAAAACAAAACAAAAAACAGAAAGGGAGGAAGGAAAGGGGCAGAGAAAGGACAGAACTAACTAGTATATTGTATGGACTCTGATTAGATTTCAGAGCGAGAAAGGCACAAAACAAAACAAAACAAAAAACAGAAAGGGAGGAAGAAAAGGGACAACAGAGAAGGGACAGAACTAACTCGTATGTTGTATGGACTCTGATTAGATTCCAGAGCGACAAAGGCATTTAAGGACAAATAGGGAAATTTAAATGTAAACTACATACTAGATACTATTGGGTAACCATGCCGTGACCTAGTGCTCAAGATTCTGTGACTCCACTGTGAGATAGGAGCTTTAGTAGTTAGGGATAAATGTTGTAACATCTACAACTTACTTGGAAATGGTTAGGAAAACACACACACAGAGTCAGGGAAACAAGGAAAGGGAGTGGGAGGAAGGAACGCAAGGACTGGGGAGAAACATGTCCTGTGCTGGCTTTTATTTTGTCCCAGTGTTGGAGATAGAACCTAGAGCCTCCTACCTGCTGGGCAAACTCTCTTCCACTGAGCTACAGCCCCGGTCCAAGAAAATCTTTTTAATAGTTATTTTGAAGATAGCTGCTCAATGAAATTCCAATCCCAGGTGACGTCTGCTCTTTAAGACTATACATCTTTAACACTGTTCATCTTTGTGTGTGTCGTGAATAACCTTGGCAGGTGATCCTCCTGCTGCTGTGGTGAATGCAGTTTTGTTTACCTTATATCTAAGGCTTAATGCAAGGGATTCAAACAGAACTCATCTGGGATCCTGCCTTTGGCAGGGAACTCTGAACAGAGAGAGGGAGCACTTTCCCCTGTCCGCTTACAGCCATCAGCTCCACTTACTTCACCTGTAAAGTGGGACTACAGGCAAAGGCTAGAAAAGTGTCCAGGAGTGTTGCTCTTGGTGTCAGTCTGGCCTTCATTAACTGGCTTACACAACGGGCCAAACTTCAAGAATCCACAAAACCCAACTGCGATCAAACCTGTCCAGCCTAGGGGCTGCCCACCCCAGAACAGCTGAAAACCAGAAACTCACAATGGGCACTGCAGGCGGCAGCCAGCGTGCCCACGTGACACCCTCGTATCTTATAGTCCCGGACCTGAGAGACCTGCACCACGGCCTCATTTCTGAGCGCTGCTGTTAGAATTTTGTAGTTTCGTGCGGCGCCAGGAATCGAACGGGCTCCCTGCACAGGCTAACATAAACTGCGGCGCCTGCCCGGGCCCTGCACTGAGCTGCTCCTGTGAGGTGTGTCCCAGCCCGAGCACGCTGCGCCTCGCACGGTACTGATATTTTATGGACTAGGTAACATCCCTCAGTGTGCATTGCTGCTGAAGTAAGCCGGGTGCCGTGGAAGGGGGCCGCTCTGAGGTACAGGGCTTCCCGATGGGATGGGGGGAAATGGTCTAAAACTGAGGAGGTGACAGGTGAGAAAACCGAGCCTGTACTCAGATCGATCGTGCTGTACACTCTAAGTGGTGTGTGACTTTCATTAAGGTTACAAAAAGTGACAACACAGGAGCGCCGCCCCCATCCCCATCCCTCCCTACCCACCCTAGGTAAGGCCCGGAAGCCGTGTACTCACTTGGACACCTTTATGGAGTCATCCGCCCAGCCTCCCTGCCTTCGAGGTGGTTTTGGTGGAGGAGCCTGTGTGAGAGAAGCCAGAATGGCAGTCACTCAGCTTGTGCCTCCAAACACCACGGAACACTGGTCCAGATCACCTAAACCAAGTCAGCCCACTGAAGCACTTCTCCAGTGAAAATAGGAAAATAGCCAGATGGCGGCGGTGGCAGCAGTACCGGCCTGTGATCCCAGCACCTGGGAGGTAGAGGCAGGTGGATCTCTGTGAGTTCAAGGCCAGCCTGGTATACAAAGCAAGTTCTGGGACAGCCAAGGCTACAACAGAGAAACTCTGTCTCAAAAAAATAAATATGAAAATAAACTCCAATTTACTTTGAAAACCAGGTACCTTCATCCTTCCTGATGCGGTGTGGAAACTGGTACACTGTTCCTAATGGACAGTCTGGCAGATGTCTACTAAAGGCTTAAAAATACTCAAGACTTTTTTCTACTGGGGCAGAAGATTAAATAGGGGCCTCATTCATGCGAAGCACAAACTTTACCAGTGAGGTGTGTGTGTGTGTGTGTGTGTGTGTGTCCATGTGTCTGCTCAGGTGTGTGGAGGTCTGAGGTTCACAGAGGGTGCCTTTCCTCAGTTGTCTTCCACCTTGACTTCAGGTACGGTCTCTCCCTAAGCCTGCATCTCACTGATGCTAGTTTGGTTGGACAATGAGTTTCAAGGCTCTACCTGTGTTTCCCACCCAAAGCGCGCCAGCTTTTTATGTGTGTTCTGAGGAGCTGACACTTCACCTACTGAGCCACCTTTCCAGCCTGCTTCAACCTGGTGATGCAGTAATTCCATTTATTGTAATATTTCTTTATTTTTACTTTATGTGTTCTTTCGGCATGTCTGTCTGTGCACCACACGTGTGCAGTGCCCATCACGGCCAGAAGAGGGCATCAGATCCCCTGGAACTGGAGCTAACAGATGTTATGAGCCACTACAGGAAGCTCGGGAGATTAGACCCAGGTCTTCTGGAAGAGCAGCCAGCGCTCTTAACGGCTGAGCCTTCTCTGCAGCCCTAAGGCAGCAATTCTAAACCCAGAAACCAAGGACATAAACACAGGGGAACATAATGTCATTTCTGCATGACACTTGGAAACAACCAAAATGATCAGCAATGAGGAACTAAACAAAATGAAAGAATGTACACAAACAGTATGCAAATGATGCGAATTTATGTTGTAAAAATGGTGTCAAAGTTCAAATACATTAATTTAAAAAACATGTTTCAAAACAGTGAGAGCAACGACCTGATTTTACAGAAAGACCATGAATACAAAGTACTTCACTGGCATTAGCTGTATGCACATGATGAGGAGCTCCTGATTAAGGGCAATTTAAATTTCCCACCCCCCCACCCCCCGTGCTGTTACACGTTTTCTGACTTTTAATGGTCTTTTATAAGAATAAATTAACAAAATGGAGACTTAAGAGTAAGGTCTGCTCGGCAGGTTCGGCTTTCCTCAGGCTGTCTGGCCAGGAAGTGCTCACCTGGAATCGGCACACCCAGGAACCACACTGTACGAGCCGTTACCCAGTGAGTCCTAACCAAAAACACAGCCAACAGCCAGCCGCCAAAGCACCTGAGCCGGATGTAACAGCGCACGGTGCTTCCTATTTTGAATTACCCAGCATTCTTCCGGGAAGGTTTTTTTGAAGTCTCAATTATCTTTTTCCAAGAACTTCACAAAATTCTGAGTGTGGCTCTCAGCCTGGAGAGGAGTTGGGATAGACGGGCTACCACAGGGGACGGCACACTTTACCAAGGGCCAGGAGGTAAGTGTGCCTCTTATGAGCCATAGTCTCTGATGTGACGGCTGAACTCTGACATTGTGGAGACAGACAGTTTGGATACTAAGACAAGCTGACTTTCAAAAACAAAACAAAAACTCTAAAACCAGGCAGTGGGCCAACTCTTAGGGGAAGGATGTGGTTTACTGATCCCTGGACCGAAATGTTGTGTCATCGTGACCTCCCTCTATAGTCCAGTGGGGACCATCTGAGAACACCCTTTCAACACGGTTGCATGCCTTTGTGCGTTTGATGTTTTGTTGTTGTTTTGAACATGGTGATAGGTTTTCTTTCCCACCTGTGTAGCAGTGCCTCGGCCTGGCAAAGATGTGTTTTACTTACACACGGGGCCTTTCTGTGGCACGAGCCAGAGCCTGCTAGAAATGACTGCCAAGGATCCAAGCTCTGGAAATAAAATACCTACATCCCACTGAGCACTTGGAAAATGAAAGGGGCACTTTAGACAAAAACTCCAAGTCAGATTTCTACACTAGAGGCCAGCAATGGAGCCGGAGGAAGGACCTGCATGTCTGTCCCACTTAGAGGCATCTTAAAAACAGAAGTGGAAAACCACCCACTCTTTATCCCTGGGGCAGGGAAGAGGGGACACCCAAAGATGTACTGAGGGACTGCCCCCCTGCTCCTCACTCCATCCAGGGGTGCATCTGTGGGCTGAAAGAAGCAGCCATGTATTCCATTTGCCGCTTTCCCTCAGACACAGCTGGCCGAATCCCAGGGGGCCGGACCCAGGCCGAACTAATTAGAGTCAGGTGTGTGTCCCTAATCCTAGCACTCAAGAGGCTGAAGCAGGGGGATTCCAAGTTTGAGGCTAGCCTGAGTTACACAGTGAGACAGACAACAGCCAAGAATCAACTGGATTGCCTGTCCTAGGAGTCCAGAACTGAGGAACAGAGGTGGGATCCTTCAGACCCCCGAAGCTGTGTAACTCCAGAGGCCGACTAGAGGCAGCGTGGCCAGAGACTAGGAAATGCCAAAGAGGCTCGCAGAATCAGAGGACCTTGTCTTATCTCTTGCCGTGCGGAATTTCGCCTCAGTGTGCTGACGAGACAAAATTTTGAAGTGAACCGGCTCACACTGAGGCCCTGGGTGGGGGTGTAAACCAATTTCTGGCCAAGCAAGGTGGCGCATGTTTACAATGTCAGCACTTCGGAAGCTAAGTCATGAATTCAAGGCCAGCCTGGGCTACACAGAGAGGCACTGTCTCAAAAGGGGGTAGGGGAGCTGGAAAATGGCCTGGTGTTTATGAGTGCGTGGTGACGTAATCCTAAGGACCAAAGTTCAAATCCCAGCTCCCACTTAACAGTATGGGCAGCTTATCACACTTCTGGCCCCAACTCTGAGGATGATGGAGATGGGAGGATCGCCGAGGCTCGCTGGCTTCCTGCCTGGCCAAGAAAACTCAAGCTTCAGGCTCAGGGAGAGACCCTGCCTCAAAAGAAATAGGTGAAGAGTGATAGAGGAGGCTCCCTATGCCCCCTTCTGGCCTCCATGCACAGCCTCACGCCCGTATGTGCGCACATGGGCACATCGCACACACGCAAACTCACAACACATTCCAATAAATCTCTCAAAAATTAAAATATAAATAAGCCAATTTCCCCGCGCCCCTCTCCCTGTTGCCCCTGGGAGAACCTGACATCTCTCCACCCGAGGATGGCCTATCTAACCTGTGATAATGCAGTGTGGTCATTAACTGAGTGCCACGTTTTGTTTGGCCACACAATTTCTTTTGTTTGTTTTCAATTTACGATACCATCTAAGAACTGGAAAACATCCCCATTAAAAGTCAGTTTCCAGCTGTCTTGACAAACTTGACTATCCAGTAACGCTGGGGCTGAGCAGGAGCCATCCCCGGGGACTGGGACTTGTGGGGCATTCGGCTTCACTCCGCACCTCCGGCTCCTTCCTGCTAGTGTCCCTTCTGTTTGTACTGTGCTGTGCAGCTGTGTCTACCCCAGTATGGGATTTTCTCTCTGCCCCTCTGCCCCTCTGCTTACCGAGCGTGGGCGGGCGGAGGGGCCCCCGTAGTGTTCTGAGAAACACAGGCAGAGTGACGGGCAGAATAAACACACTCTGACTCAGCCATTAGTTGGGCAGTTCTCAATCTGTGGGTCAGGACCCCCTTGGGGGTCAGATGACCCTTTCACAGAGGTCGCCTATCAGACAGCCTGCACAGTGGATATTTTACATTACAATTCCTAACAGCAGCAAAATCACAGTTGTGAGGTAGCAACAAAAATAATCGTCTGGTTGGGGGACAGAACAACACGAGGAACTGTATTAAAGGGTCGCAGTGTTGGGAAGGTTGAGGACCACTGCGGCAGTCGGACTTAGTCCTAGTCCAACTTTGCTCCCTGAGGCTGGCGGAGCTGACACCTGGGCGTGTGGTCGCCAACTGTCTCTCTGCTTCAGGTACTGGGGAAGACAAAACGAACTCAAGTAAGACCTACGGCATTAAAGTGTGGGCGTGTCCAGTCTGTTTGGGATGCCAAGAGTCAGTCCAGAGCAAGACAGGGAGGAATCCGGCTCTCCTGATACCACCTTGTCTCTACTCTGGATGTGGGTTTTACAGTAACAGCAGGGGCAGAGGCTGACCCGGGAAAAGACGGTGGAGGGTTAGCACCGTGGACCAGAAACTGAGATGCCATAAACCTTTGAAATGTATCCTTTGGGTGATTTCCTCATGGAGGGGGACTGGGCTATTGATGGGATGGTTAAGTGTGCAGAACAGTGGTATGCGTGTCTCGACTCCTCTGTGATCACTGTCACCACTATGACTAGTGTCGACACAGGAAAGACCAGGCCGTAATCAAACATGCAATCATTTGAGGGGAAAATTAAAGCCAGACTCCTCTCAGGCAGGCTGGATCTCCTCAGTCACTGCAACTGAGGTGATATGTTTCACCTCTAGCCAGACCTCAAGAAGCTATGGCCTAGGGTGTGTGTGTGTGTGTGTGTGTGTGTGTGCGCGCGCGCGTGTGTGTGTGTGTAGGGCCTACAGGGTGACAGCCACTGTTCTCATTTCCCCAGCTGTAAAATGGTACCCTCAAACGAGAAACAAAAAGCTTGCTACAGAGTCATTCCTCCGTGCCCAGATGCTTGACACCAGCTCTAGAATCAAAGGCTTTCGTCACAAATGGCAGGAGCCTCCCAGACCTGTGTAACACACCGCTGTTCGAGCCACTCCTCATCTTCCTCAAACCCTGGAGCA